AGTTTCGAGGACCAGGTTTACCATAAGCAACAGCTTGAAGCTCTGCATGATGTACAACCCCTCAAGAGGAAAGCCTCGTGCTATCACCCAGCTCCAGGAGCTGCAGGGTTATGCAGAAACACCCAAATACCATGAGATGCCCGAGAGTCACAGCATTTGGCAATGCCATCACACCTCTTCCAATTGCCAAACCAACTCTGCTCCTGGGGGTTACAGATACTGAAGAAAATTTAATGTAGGAAAAGAACTTTTGCAAATCTCTCCTTGGATTTCTCACTAAGTAATTTAAAGTCTCCCAAAATGAGCACTCCCAGGTTAAGGGTGGGAAAGGCTTTTCTATGCTGACCTGCTGCAGTGCCTGTCCCATTTTGAATACCTCTGGAAATAAGAACCTTCCAGTTTAGATATGAGGCGGCCCCAGGGCATGGTTTGGGGTTAAACCAGCATGTAAAGGGGTGGGAGGGGATGCCCATGTCCTTGCTATCCCCAAAAGAGCTGTATTCCCCTGTCCTTCCACCCCTGCACCTCCAGCAGTTGCCACCATGGTCCCTCTGGTCAGTGGAGATGCATGAGCCGGTCTTCGACGTCCCATCAGGTGCTCCCTGAGGTACCTGGGGAGGTTTCTCCTACAGAGAAACAGAGCAGTGCCTGCCCCAGACACACTCTGTACTCCCCTTTCAGCTAACGAGGAGCTGCCCAGGTTATGAGCAGGGTTTGAAGCAACAACAAAAATGTAACTCAAGACTTACTCTAGGAAAGTCCTTCCAGAAAGGTCACGGAGGAGGATTCGGGGCGACTCTGCCAGGACACCCAGAGTCTGCCCAGAGCACCCCGAGCAACGCTGGGCTGTGTCCCCACAGTGTCCTCAGCACTCCGCTCCCCTCCACCAGAGCAGCTCCGGGGTTTTGTGGCAGACACGCCCCCCCGACCACCCCCGAGCTTCACAGCTTCTGCTGCTGCCTCCCTCGCGCACCAACTCACCGGTTCTTAAATAACACACTTCCACGGGGCCAGATCCGCACAAGGCAAGGTAAATCCAGATCAGCTTTCTTTAGGATTTGCTGGTAATTCCCAGCATGTGCAAAACATGACCACTACTTGTTTCTCTTAAAAAGGATGGAAGCTGTGCCACCACCCCAGAAACCCCATGTGAGAGACCCATCAGCCCAGCTCCCTTTTGCCATCGTTAAACGCACACAGATGGGCGTGAGATCTTTACACAACCTTTACATAAATGAACCTCAGCGCCCGTTTTGTCTGTGTTTGGGATTATCCTTCTCCCTGTTACTGAAAGGAGTTATTTAAGGGAGTCCAGGGATACAGGTTGGTGCGGGAAAGATGTCTAGGCTTTACAGAAATCACTGCATGTGCCTCCACACCCACAGCAGCACCACCAGCACGTGACCCGCCTTGGATCTCCTCAGCCCCCGATGCTAAAACAAAAACAAAAAAAAGAAAAAAAAAACAACAAAAAAACAAACAACCAAAAAAAAAAATGAAATCATTTTCTTTGTACCAGGTGGCTTTTTCAGGACTCAAACGTGGCTTTTCAAGAGTGTCAAAGGAATTAAGTCATTAAAATGTGGATGAGTTTGATGGATTATGAGCTATGAAAGCCTGGTGGTTACTAACTAATAAGGCTGGGAGGTGGAGGAGGGGGGGAATGTTTCCTCTTGTAAAGATGTGTTTCTAACAAGACAGGTCAAAAATATGATGCGGATGATAAATTGCTTTAAAAGTTGCTGTTAACCCAGCAGTTTTCTGCATTATTAGATTACCAAGGCATCCCTGGAGTGGATTGACCACGCAGCCCTGCTCTGTAGTAGGGCTAATTTGCAGAGTGAGACCTGGGGGGGGGTTATTCCACTCGCTGCAGTGAATCCCCACTCCCAACAAAGGGGCAGCTGCCGGCAGGTGTCTGTGGAGGGGATGGTTTTATCTGTGTCAGGGTTCAGGGTGGGGGAAGAGGAGAAAGGGGATATTTTTTTTTCTTCTTTTTCCCACGCCAAAACCCGAATCTCATTGTCTCACATGGTGTGGGGTTGGGGGAGGGGGGGTTTGAATTTAAAAATAAAAGGAAACGAAACAAAACAAAACAAAACAAAAAGGGGGGGG